ATCTTCGTTAATGTTCTAGCTGATCAATTAATTAGACTGACTTCATGTCAATATTTTATGCTCGACAATCTTAGATTAACGACAAAAGACGATAATATCAGGTCAACAATACTAAAATCATTAATACAAGTTTCAAAAGATTTTGCAATTAAATCCATCAAGATGAAGATGACGCAATTAGAACCTATAACGGCTGAAGATGAGTCTTCGTATCGTGATAGGATCGATCAATGGGATGATTTAAATTATCTTATAACATTTCCCAATTATCAAATTTCGGATTTCTGTTCGGTATTATATCACGATAAGACTAAAGTTCCTGATAATATTAAATTATTATTGAAGGGTCAAGCAATTGGTGATCCAAAAAGTTGGAAAATAGATGATTATAATAAAATGTCTGCAAGTTCACTCTTGATGAAACTGGAAGGAATGGCTCGTATTTCAACGCAAAAATTAAATCCGCCAGAATATATCTTGTCTAGTGATAATCTGATAAAGATGGCGCTGATTCTTTTAAGAGTACGTGTGAACATTCCGATAGTAATTTGTGGTGAAGCGGGATGCGGAAAGGTAAATTTATATAAATATAAATATAAATATATATATTTTTAAATCTTTCAATAATTCTTTGACATAAAAAATTTTTTTCATCTTTGATTTTAGACGAGTTTAATTACGTATTTAGCAAAATTGACCGAAGTTCAATTTCAAGCACTTAACCTTCATGCTGGAATTGATGAAGAAACTATTACAAGATTTATGTCGGACGCTTTGAGTAAGGCAGAAGAAGGCGAAGTTTGGATATTATTTGATGAAATCAACACATGCAGCTGCTTGGGTTTACTTGCAGATTTGATATCTAGCAGAATGTTTCAAGGTAGACCTATACATCCAAACATTCGTTTATTCTCTACCTGCAATCCATACCGTCTTCGTGCAAGAACAACGGATAAAAGTTATGAAGAACAAAGTAACCTTGTTTATCAGGTTAAACCACTTCCTGATCAAATCCTGGACTACGCATGGGATTATAGTATTCTAAACCCAAGAGATGAGTACGAGTATATTCAAATTATGGTTGACAAAGAATTAAAAAACTCGAACGATTCAATATTTTCTGAGCTCATATACGCTTCCCAGACATTCATTCGTAAAGTTAAGGAACCAAACAGCGTTAGTTTGCGTGATGTCAAGCGAGTTATAAAGTTGGCAAACTTCTTTTATGGTTCCCTTGTGAACCGTTCGGATGTTATAAGAATTCCGCCTGGAAGTCCAACCATAAAAACTAGATCTTATGTTTTAGCGCTTGGCCTTTGTTATCATTCTCGATTATATGAACAAGAATTACGCAAAAATTATTGTCACGAAATGGGGAAAATCTTTCAAGCTCATGATATTAAAGTAGGGGAGGAAGTATTTATCAAAATTATTCGTGAAGAACAGGAAGATTACTTTAGCAGGATGCGATGCCCTCCTAATGTAGCAAAGGTTGAAGCTTTATTAGAAAATATTTTGGTTTTAATCGTTTGTATTTTGACTAAAATTCCTGTATTTGTTATCGGAGAAACGGGGTATGTACTAGATAGAATAACTAGTTGGTTTGGTAAATTAACTGACGTTACTAAAATTTATCGGTATTATTTTCTTTAAAGGTTATCTAAATCTTTAGCTGTTCGTCTTATAAGTTCAAATTTACGCGGGCCCGAATCAAGTGATGATTACTTTAAGACTTTACCAAAGGTATGTGCGAAAAGATATTGATAATTAAATTTTCATTTTAATAAAATCAATGTTTATTTAACATTAGGTTCACATGGTTTCATACCTATGTTCTTCGAGTTCGACTTCTGACGGAATTAATAATGTTTTCGAAAAAGCTAATAAATATCAAGAAACAAGCTCGGATCAATTTCCCATCATTAGTGTAGTTTTACTTAATAATGGTATATATTGAAATTATATTCTTTTCAGATTAAAATTCAATATTATATATATATACTTATCGTGTTTATTTTGTTAGTTGGATATGCTGAAATAAATCTCTCGAATCCACTAAAAGTGCTTCATTCGATGCTCGAGACGGAGAATGAGCCAAATGTTTCATTCATTGGGATGTCCAATTGGCGCTTGGATATCAGTAAAAGCAGTCGAGCGTTACTAGTACAACTGTAAAATCGAAAGCTATTTTTTCCAATTTGCGTAAAAAAAAAAAATTCATTATTTACTTTATTAATTATTTTTGATGTCATATATTTAGACCTCGATTCGACTTTGATGATTTGGTTGATGCAACCAGCTACCTATTGGGTACCAAGGTTATTGAACCTAATCAAATGAGCGTTATAGAAACTTTGGCCAAAGCATATTCGGATTATGAACGAAATGGTCAAGCTTTGCCTAACTTCCATGGCATTCGAGATTATTATGCATTACTTAAAGTATCCGGTTTGTCACCCGAAAAATTTCAAGTGGCATTAGCTCGTAATTTTGGGGGAACAGAAAATAGTCCCGAATTATATGAAAAGTATTTCGGAGATGTCCTTAGATTACTTCAAAATCCATGGTCATATAAACCGATACCGATAACACAACTTATCGAATCAAACTTGGATGATCCTAGTGCGCGACATTTAATGGTCATTGGTAAAAACGAGTCAATTATAAGTTTATTGATTGATCAATATAGTCATTTGAACCCTGTTGTGATTATTGGATCACAATTTCCTGATGATCGTGACGATTATTCTTATCAGGTTTTAAGCAGAATTATGGTAATTAGTTTCTTTTTTTTTGTTAAGTACTAGGGAAACGGGACCGTTGTCAAGTCCGGAACTTTATCCAGACTTTTGTGCAATTGCAAGAGTCAATCAGCATTGACTCAATTATTGAGCGGTCGGACACGGGACATTTTTCGTCGTATATAGTCCTACACTTCGTTCCGGACTAATAAGTATTTTTATAAATTTATATTCCTTTTACCTTTTTAGGTATGTGTAGAAACAGGCAGACCATTGATTCTTACAGATTTGGATAATATTTATGGTAATTTAAAAAAAAAAAATTTTTTGTTTTTCATATTTTAACCGAGAAAATTTATAAATTGTACCTTAAATTAATTATTTTTTTTTTTCATAGCAAGTCTTTATGATTTATGGAATCAGGATTATATTGTGATCGGCAGCGAAAACGCCGAACAATTGACGAATGTTGCACTTGGAACCTGTGCCAATCCTATTCTGTAAGTTATTTTTTTTTTTTTTTTGAGGGGAAATGAATTATTTACTATGAATGATTAATTATTGGATTTATGATTGCAGTCACGTTTCGTCAAAATTCAAGTGTATTCTAGTCATGGATGAGAAGAAATTGACTTCAGCCAATCCATCACTTCTCAATCGATTTGAAAAACAAAGATTAACTATTGGTGATGTTCTTAATGAAAGACAACAATCACTAGTTCGGCAATTAAAAAGTTGGACAAGACGACTGTCCACTTTAAAAGACGATTCTTCAGTTCGATTACATGATCTTTTCATTGGCTTTGATGACGATGAAACTTTACACAGTTTAGTTTTAGATCTTACAAAAAATTGTCCCGATGCTGATGATAAAACGATTTTACAAAAATGCAAAGAACGTTTAACGGCGGTGGTAACATCGGATGGAATTGTAAGAGCCGAACAATCAGCTTTGGATCGTGAAGAAATCAGCATGTTGAAGTATTCCTATTTTCAACAACAGCATTATGATTCGCTCTTTGATTATTTCGAACCGTTATTAGATCAACCAAACACCTTAAACGATTTACGTTTAGTAATTGTCAATACTTTCTCTAGTATGAATACGGATGTTAAGTCTTGCTTGCGTGACATAAGTTGTCAAGTGTATAAATTATCGATTTTTAAGACCGAAGTTCAACTTTCAAATCTAGTAAGAGATTTCTTTTTCAAATCAAATGACCAAATATTGTTCTTTCAATGCGATACCAGGGTCATCAATGCAGGATATATTAAGTTGACGAAGTACATTATTGAACAATGCCGAAATGAATTCTTGAAAGAAAATTATCAAACAACAAAACATGTGTGCATAATATTTCATATTCAACGGAACGATCAAACATTATCCAATTTTATTTGTGGCTGGAATAAAATCACTATTGAATCTTTGGAACGACAAAACATCCCATTATTAGACCTTTTGGATAAATCTATTTACGATATAATAAATTCAGAACTTTTTCAGATGATAGTTGGTTCTGATATGCCATTTGAAAAATTGTTAAAGAACGAATTATTATGGTGCCTATCTTGCATAAACTATCAGCTTTCCAGTGAAAGTTATCAAGATCATATAAGGTGGGAGAATATTTTATTAAATATTATATTCTATTTATTAAAATTTAACATTATTTTTGATAATTATTTTCTAGCATGTTGAGCAAAGAGATTTTAAAGAGTGCAGATTTCATTCAGTGCATTAAAACTAAAACTTTTGATTGGATTTCTACGAATTATAAAGATTGGAACTCCAAAGTGGCTTTTGACAATGATTACTTAAGCCGATTCACGTGTTTTTCGCTAGCCTTACAGGATTATGTAAAGGTGGCCGTTAAACAAACGATTGCCAAAATATTGTATTCACTTGAAAAATTTTCAACAACGACGACATTTTTTACGATTGAAAATGGGAAATCCGAAACGAAAGAAGACTTATCTAATTTATGGAAAATCTTCTTCATGGATCATACAATTGTCAACATTGATAATTTACCCGAACCAAAACCCTCCGGTTATATCATGACGTGTTCAAAGGTCGCTGAACTTGAATTTCCCTTTTCATATTATTTTATGGATCAGATTAATTACTATAAAGTTCAATATGAAGAAGAGTTGGACCTATTAAAGCAAGATTTAGAAAACATTAATGAAGAAACTAGAGAGTTGCACGAAAGCTTGGATGATCATACCAAGGAATTTGTGAATAACTTGTTTACCATGAAACGGTATTTTGAGTACTTGCAAGCATATTCAAAATTATATTACAATGATTTTATGAAAATCGTATTATCATCATATACTACTAGAAAATTAAATGTTAAAAAAGAATTGGATTTCATCTTTAGTCATCTTACTAGTGACAAAATAGTTGATACCCCCTTCCTCCTTCATATTTATTGGTGGAAATATGCTGATAACGTTTGGATCCAATTACAATTGGTCGAGACGTTTCCATCTATTTTCACAAAAGTTCAACTAGAAGGATCGATTATTCATGGCAAACTTGATCAATGCCTTTTCATACAAGCAATTAATTTGTTATTACAGAAGATTTATGATGAGGAGGAATATGAGCAAGATCTTGATATTCTTTTGTCTCTGGTTTATAGGATTAATGATACAACTAATTTGACGAACCTTCCTTTACTACTTGTATGTAATGATTTATTAAAGATCAATTCGATTCCATCAGAGAAAATCAAAGAGATTATCTACTTGGGAAAACCCGTCCATCAGCAAGAATTCATTACAACAGATATCATTAATTTTGTTTTTGATCACATAAAGGAGGAGGATGATTTGATTCATGTTAGATCTTTTATTACGAGATGTCTTGAGATTATTCCTTTAGAATCATATGTCCGAACGATCCTTTATACGAAAATATTTTCGCGAGAGCATTTTCAATTTGTTAGTGTAATAATCGAGGAAATACTTGTTACTGAATATCAAGAGGAGGACGAAATATTTTGGACACTAATCATGGATCCCGAGCAAGCGTTACGGCGCTTTGTCAGGTTGGCAGTTATTGAAGATTATCTTGATATTGAAAAATCTGACACAACCGTAGTAGAAATTTGCTGTGAAACCATTCAATCGATTTTTAAGGGATTTGAATTAGCAAAGTTAAAACCTTATTTCAAGTATTCAGTTGAACCTTTTTTGAAACATGGAGATCTGGCATTGCAACAATTATCCTCGTTGCAACAAATAACTTCTATAGCATTTCTAAAGGAATTCGTACATAAATTTTGGGAGAATTATATGCAAAAAAACAATTCTTTATCTAGATCATTAGTCAAAGAGATCAATGATTGCATGAAAAACAATCAATCATTTATCCAATCTTTGAAATCCTATTTTTTAATAGGCATAAAGCAATCCGACCAATTAAAAAATGTATTCCCGTGGATTGAAAATGATACCGATAATGAAACAACTTACCTTCCGAGACTCTGGGAATCTACAAAGATAGCGAATTTTGAAGATTTCTATTCTTTTTATGATTGCAACTTTGTTCAAAGTTTAGATAAATATCCTTTCCTATCAGTATACTTTAATAATTATGAGAAATTAAGACTCATCAAGCATCTTTACCCAATGGTTAGATTCATAAAGATTTTAAATACAAACCTTGAGTATGGTTTAACTAGAAAAAAGGCTCTAACCATGACATTTAATAAGTTTATCAAGATCTTCGCAAATGAAGATATCAGGAAGGAAGATTATTTAAAAGAGATATTCAACAAATTTGCTTTAGGTTGGAATTCTGTCATCAGTTATGTTAGTCATTATCGATCCAAAGAATTACCCAAATGGCCAAGTTCACAAAAATCACCACCTTCCAATGAATTCGATGAACCATATATGAGACTTGACCTTCCCGTTATTTATGGTCTAGTTGTACAAAAAGACACGGGAACGTATTTATGTGCGATTTTGGAGTTCTTAATCAAGTTGCACAATGAATTCTTGGATGATGTTTTAACCCTTCCAGTTGGGCAATGCAAGGGTCTTAAATTCCTGGAACGATCATGGAACAATAACAACAATAATATTACTTCCAAAATCTATCATATCAAATCGACCAAGGTGGCTCAAGCACGAGAAATCAATTTTATAAATTATGAATGGGATGAAAAGATTTTAAAGTATCGTCAACGAAACCTTGAATCGAAGGAATTATGTTTCACTTTTGACTTAGAAAAGATTGAAATGATACTTGTTAGAGACTTGGTCCTTAACAAGGTTTATTTTGAAGAGGAAGATAATCAATTTTATTTGAAAGATTTTTCGTTCAAACATGAAATATTTTATAACTTTCCAAGAATTCTATTTGATATCAAGAATTTATTGCCACAAGAGCAAATTCCAAAGGATAAATTGTCAATAGTTTTACAATTATTTCAACCAACAAGTACTTTGATTTTGGATAATTCATTGGATTCAACCAAACTATCTGAATTATCTTTCCTTTTCGAAATAATCTTTGGTTTCATAAAAGAATTGTCAATTAATAATAATGATATAATCATTATAGATTTCATTAGCCAATGGTTAAAATTGGCGGAATTAACGAAATTATCCAATTTGGATCAAACCTTCATTGACATATTTGAAGAATTTTCTCTGAAGCATATCATAGCATTGTATGAATTAATTGAAGAACAAGTTGCTAATTCAATAATTGATAAGGATAATATTAATTATAAATTTAAAATGCCATTGACACAAAAAATGAAGGAATCGATCGTTAATGGTGTTAGTTTTGATCAAGACAACCAACTCATCCCTGCTAAATCATTTGCTATTGCTTTAAAAAGATTTGTTTATAGATTCTTGTTGATTGATGATACTAATATAGAAAATTCCAATCTGAGCTTGTATTTCTTGGATTTTGGTCTGGGTTTATGGGATAATGACATTAAAGAAGAAGTTGTTAATCAATCTTTCCCAACTTGCCTATTGGCATCTAATACAAATTATACTTATGCCTTCATCGTTAATGAAATCAAGGTATGCAATTTCATATATTTGATACGAGTTCATCTCTTTGTTACCTTGATCTTAAATCTTACTAATTTCTATTAACAGAGAATAAAACCGCAAATTAAACCGCAAATTAAACCGGATAAAAAAAATTATGGAAGAAGGCAACGTTCTTCACGATAGTTAAAATTTTTATTGTTTTCTATAAATAAAGAACTTTTTTTTTGGTTTTTACACGATACATAACATAGATATTAAGAATATTAACATTATAAAGCAAAGGTGACAGATTTTATAAAACTAAATTCATTAATAGACTCCTCTCCCAAATCTTTGCCGAAACCACTAGATTTTCTACCACCAAAAGGTAGATAATTAGGAGATAAATTATAGCAATTTACCCAAGCAGTACCAACTTTAATTTCTTTTATAGCCTTTTCAGCCTTTAAATAATTATTTGTCCAAATTCCAACGGATAGACCAAATTTAGTATTATTTGCCCTATGGATAACTTCTTCAATGGTATCAAAAGGTTTTAATATGGTTAATATAGGACCAAATATTTCTTCTTGAGAGATAAGTTCCGAATCCTCAATATTATAAAATACAGTTGGTTCAATAAAATAACCGACATCCCCAACCCTATTTCCACCGATTAATAACTTTCCATCTTTCAATCCGGATATTGCGTCTTTTAAAACCTTTTGCACTCTTTGAAATTGTATATTATCAATCAAAGGACCAAAATCAACGGTTTCATTTAATGGATTACCTATTTTAGTTTGTTCAATCCTCTTTCGTAATTTATCTATGAATACTTTGTGAATACTTTTTTCTAAGAATAATCTTGACCCAGCACAACAATTTTGTCCCGAATTTAAAAATGAAGCCCAATAAACATCATCTACCACTTTATCTACATCAACATCGGAAAAAACGATCATCGCATTTTTACCTCCCAACTCAAGCGTAATCCTTTTTAAATTACTTGAGGAGGCAGCAGAAAGGATCTTTCTACCAACTTGTTCGGATCCTGTGAAACTACATTTATCAATTCCTTCATGTTCTGTGATACATTTTCCTACCTTTTCATCACCTGGTATCACATTAAGTACACCTGGTGGTAATTCCGTTTTAGAAGAAATGATTTCTGCCAACAACAAGGTAGTCAATGGTGTTTGTGGTGCCGGTTTAAGTATAACCGTATTACCACAAGCTAAGCTAGGTGCTAATTTCCACGATGCTAATGACAAGGGATAATTAAAACTTGTTATCAATCCACATACTCCAACTGGCTCCCTAATCGTGTATGTCTTATATTTATCGTTTACGCAAAAATTATGTCCGGCTAATTTATCTGCGTATCCTGCAAAGAATCTACCGTTGAAAGGGTGAATTAAAGAGAGAGTGAGATGGGGTTCAGGTAAATGATATCATTACCTAAAGCATTCAGCGGATTCGGACACATCAAGTTTAGCATCTTTTATAGGTTTACCAACGTTCAAAGATTCGGTTAAAGCAAGATTTTCCAAATTTTGATCAATGCCGTCAGCTATTTTTAATAAAAGATTTCTTCTATCGGAACCATTCGATGAACTCCATGAATGCAAAGCATCGGTCGCAGCTTGAACGGCCAAATCAACGTCATTTGGTATTCCTTCTACGACCTGAATAAGGGACTCTTCCGTGGCCGGATTAATTAATGTTTTACTAATATGTGAGGAGGATGGAGCTACGAATTTATTATTAATAAATGGACGAGCTATCTTTGAAAGATTTTTAAGTAGATTTGAGTAATTCATTTTACGGAAACAAAAAAAAAAAAAAAATTCGGTATTTATTAAAATAAAAACACTTTTTTATTCCACGTGACCCTATATAATTTGTCACCCCGTGTCACATTACTTTATCACATCCAAACTACTAAAGAAGAAAAAGACAGGTTTATTCTTAGCTTTGCAAAAAGCTTAATTGATTTTCTAGTCCCAAGATTTTCTTTTGTTCATTTAAAAGAGTCTCCAATTCATCATGTTGCAATTTATCCTGTAAGATAATTTTGTAAGCATTTAATTATCCTTGAGCAAAAATAACAATCTATTGATATTTTTTTCAATAATTTCATTTTAGGCAAGTAAAAGATACAAGAATTTTTCATGTTACTGCTTAAACTTTCTTTGGCATTGAATACTAAATTCTATTTCTCTTTTTGTAATAAATAAGATAATCCTTCAACTTAAGTTTTTCGATTTCAATTTTCAAATTATTAAAGTCAAAATCATTATTATTAATATTATTATCAAATACTATATTAACTAGTTCATAAATTGATTAAGAATCAGGATTTTCTCATTTTTTTTGAACTTTTTATTTGTTAGTCCTTTTCAATATTGTCTTCAGAAGTAGTGAATAATAATTAGTCCAGAGCGTAATGAAGGACTATTATAGTTTAGGCTTAGTGACACAAAATGTCAATCTGTCCGCCCGCTTGACCTATGAGACAATGACGTTCAGTTACTGTGTTTGTCAGTGTTGCTCATGATTATTTCCCAAATCTTATCAAATTTATTTAAAAACTTTTTGCATTAAAAAAAAAATTTTTCAGCTTTATATTTTTTTTATTTGTATTGTCATTTTTTCTGAGAAATGTATATTAAAATAATATTTTGATGCTTTGTTCCTATTTTATTTAACATTTTGTACTGTTATATTAAATTGTATCTTCTTCTGGTATTAATGAAACTAGAGTTCTGGATGAGTCGAGTTAACTCATGAGTCAGATAAGCCAAGTCGAGTTCAAATTAAGTTGAGTTTGTGTTTTTTTGACTCGATGATTTGTAAGTCAAGCTAAATTTGAGTTGAATTAAATATTTAATTCGACTCGATTTAAACTCAACTTGATTCGAGTTGACTCGAGTTGACTTGAACAATAAAAAAATTGTTCAAGAAGAACAATAAGGAATCATTCGTCTTGAACAATAAAAAATCATTCAAGAAGAACAATAAGGAATCGTTCGACTTAAATGATAAAAAAATTGTTCAAGAAGAATAATAAGAAATCGTTCGACTTGAACAATAAAAAAATCATTCAAGAAGAATGATAAAGAATCGTTCAAGAAGAACGATAAGAAATCATTCAATTTGAACGATAAAAAAATCATTCAAGTCGAACGATAAGGAATCGTTCAACTTAAACGATAAAAAAATCATTCAAGAAGAATGATAAAGAATCGTTCAAGTCGAACGATAAGAAATCGTTCGATTTGAACAATAAAAAAATCATTCAAGTCGAACGATAAAGAATCGTTTGACTTAAACAATAAAAAAATCATTTAAGAAAACGATAAAGAATCGTTCGCCTTGAATGATAAAAAAATCATTCAAGAAGAACGATAAAAAATCGTTCGTCCTGAACGATAAAAAAATCGTTCAAGTCGAACGATAAGGAATTGTTCGACTTGAACGATAAAAAATCATTCAAGTTAAATTACTAAAGCTCATTTAAAAAATGATTATCACTAGAGAACAGCAAGGACCGTTATGAAGTCTGAAG